ACTTACTTATAGTGCCCAATATGAAATGACAACGACGACGTAATCATCGTCGTCGTCATTGTCCGTCTGTGTTGCAGTTGCCACGCCACTCGACGATTGTCGAGGGCGCTGGTCCTCGTTTTTCGTGCACGCTGGTCGCTCGTTGGGTAGTTCGAGGCTCCTGGGGCTGTGGGGTCCGCCGCTCATCAACTGTCGTGTGCGCTGGTCGTCATTTGCCCGTCGTTGTTCTTGTTGATTGGAATGTTGTCGTTGTTGTTCAGCGGTTGTGGTTCTTGGTTGGGCGTTCATCGTCGTTTGCCCCTTGTTGCCTTCGTGGTGTGTCGTTTGTTGGGTGGTTGTTGTCGGTTTTGGGCGGCCAAGGTCGTTTTCGGTGTTGAACGTTGGGTGACTTGGGATGGCGGCGACGTGGTGGTGAGGGAGTTGTTGGTGTTGAACGTTGACGTGTTTGTATGGTGGGTTGAAGAAAAAAGAAATGTCACACAGAGTCACACTCACAGTGACGTCGGTATCAACGTGCAAGTTTCAAGGCAAGTTCACGCTCCTGGCGCCTGCCCAAATCTGTAGCACCCACCGTTTCGAGTTGAATTTGTAGTCTATTAGGTAACTTTGTATTCATTACAGAGATTTGTACGTAATGAGAGATCTGTCCCCACAGTTATATTACATGAAAGTATTTCATAAAATTGCCACTTCCAGGGTTGCAGGAGGGCTACGCTGTTGAGGATTAGGCTGCTGGGAATGGGTTCGATTCGTCTTCTGTGGAGGCATGCTCGGAACAGCCCCCAAACCGTATGCAGGTTGATAATCGGTCTCAACCTCATCACATCGTAGATGTAGAATTGCTCGTATCTGTAACAGGCAACTTGTAAGTTCCCGCTTGACGACTAAATGGGTGCAACTCACTGGGTGTTTGTGAACACGACTTGATTTCGAAAATGGAATAACCGGTTATTTTGCAGTTAACTAACTGCTAAATAACCGGTTATAACCAGCCCTATTATACACCTTCAAAACGCACTTGAGAACATCGAAAAAACTTAAAATTTGACTAAGTTACAGTCAAATCTCTAAAATATCACTCAAATGTGTAGACTTTCAAGGATAATTGCATAAATATGTCAATTTGTCACCGATGTTAGCGTTCTTGGGCTCGTTTTAAAGCTAGAATATGCAGAAATAATATCTATCAAGATACATATGAGCATATTTGCCTTGTTATAACTGATTCTTTATTTTTCGGTCCTAACCAGTTAGTAACTGCAAATAACCGACTGTAACTGGTTAGTTGCGGTCCGGTTAGGTTATTTTAGGTTTCAGGACAAAGGCTAACCAGTCTCGGTCTCGGTTAGAGCCCCTGGGCACCCAATAACCGGACCTAACCGGACTTTTGAACACTAGTGACATTGGACAACAACTCAGTTTCCGAACTGAAATTACGGACTATTATACTTTAGACGCTGTCAACGATCTTCATGTTCTCCCATTGTTGATGAAACTCTCGTTGCGCGAGCTCTGTGATCCCCTTGTCCCAAGTGAAATGTACAACGATGTTGAAATCAAATCAGCAAGTGTCAATTCTTCGTGATCAAGAGAAACAGGGGAGTAAGATTTCCGGTTGTCTCTGGAGGTGACAGAGGCAAACAGATGAGCAACTACAGTACAAGGCCTCGTATATATATGTAAACTACGAAATATAAGGGGGTAAATGTAAAATACCCCTATGGAGCCACGGAAACAATCAATGGAAGGAATGTACCTGAAATCCACCTGAAATCCGAAGATGGGGCACATTGCGCATGCTCATAAAGCTCCCGAAATTCCAACAAACGAATGTACTCATTCAGCATTCTAGGGATCATCTTGCCTGTATCTGCATCGTGGAACAGTGCGAACATCAACCATCATGTCATTTTTTTTGTCATTAGTCTCTTGCAACTGTTTCTTGAAGAACAAACCCAGAGTATTACCAAAATGACACTGTCCGATCTGTTCTTTGGGGGAAAAAAAACTTTGTAGTGTCTACTTCACTTTTTGGGACTACCAAAACTACCAAAACTTGTATTCTCTCCTTTTATAATTACAAAGTTTTGTAGTACCAGCTTTTTGAGACTACAATTCTTGTAGTCTCCTCTTTTTCATTACAAAAGCTTGTACTGTAAAGATTTGTAGTGAAAAATTGTGGTCCCGAAAAGTGGACACTACAGAATTTTGTCTTCTCAAAAAGCAGACACTAAGAATCTCTGGAATAAAAAAGGGGATATCACAAGGTTTCATAACAGACACTACAATATTTAAATAGAAACCGCGGGCGCTACAGGTTTGGGTGTGAGCGTGATCTTATGTGTGAATTGTGCCCAACGTCATACTCTGTCACATATTGTGACGTTCCTTCCATCGTCAACGCCAGCGAATCCACCTCACCACCATGTCGCCGTGATGCCACATCATGCAACGTTCACCACCGCAAACAACCCTCGCTGCTCAAAACCGACAACAACCGCCTAACAAACCACACACCACGAAGACAACAACCGCAAAACGGCAACCAGTGCCCATCAAGCAACATACAACCCAACACCACCGCCCACGAAAAACGACGAACGACCCCACAAGCGACCAGCGGACCACGACCACCCAAGAACGACGACAAACAGGAGCAAGTCAGGCCACGTTGCAGTCAGCGATGTGGCAACTATGTGTCACAGCCGGACGACGACGACGACGTAATCGTCATCGTCATCATTTCATGTGAACCACGGTAAGCCCCTCCCCCCTTTATGACATGACTACCAGAACACCCCACCTTCCAACCCTTGACGGATAGCACAACCCACCTCACCATGCCACCCTCCCTCATGCCGCCTGTCAGCGGCCACGTCATGACGCGAAACGACACCAGGCAGGACAGGCGCCAATCAAGGGCGTGACGAGGACACCGAAGGGCGAAAGACGGACGACGACGAGGGCGAACAGATGAAGGACGACGACGACGACATCCACAACGGCAAACGGACGACGACGACAGCGTTCAAACAATGGAGGAGGCGTACAAACGACCACGACGACGAGGAGGGCTACAAACGATGGATGGCAACGACGAAGACATCCTGAGGCCCGCGACCACCACCTCCACACGGCAATGAGGGCCAAATACCCCTCCCTCACTGCCCACCACCCCCTCCCCCTTTCCCTCACTTCCCACTATTCCCTCCCCCTCACTGCCCACCACCCCTCTACCTCACTGCCCACCACCCTCACCCCTACCTCACTCTCACTGCCCACCACCCTCACCCCTCTCCTTCACTGCCCACTACCCCTCTCCTTCACTGCCTACCACCTTTCCCCCCTCATTGGCTACTACCCCCTTTCCCCCATTGCCTACCACCCCCTTGCCCCCTCCCTCATTGCCTACCATCCATTTCCTTCCCCCCCCCTCTTCCCCTCTTTGCCTACCACCCCTCTCTCATTGCTCACCACCCCTTCCCCTCTCCCTCATTGCCCACCACTCTCACCCCTGTTCCTCACTGCCTACCACCCTCCTCACTCCCTCTTCCCTTTATATAATATTTAGTGTAGTGATGTAAATTAATGTAGTTGTGTTAAATTAAATGCAGTTTCTCTTCTGGATATATGTATAAGTTATAGATTTAACTTCCAAGATCTTGTTTCAGGATACTTGAGTATAAAAGATATTCTGGTGATATATCCTGGAAATATATCCTGGTTCAGGATATAGTTCAAGAAGATATCTTAGTTCAGAATGTTGTTGAAAAAAACAGAATATAGTTGATAAATATATCTTGGTTCAGGATTTGATTAAAATATTCAGGATATGGTTGGAAAATATATCTTGGTTCAAAATATAGTTGACAAATATATTCTTTAGCAATGTATATATCACAAATATATATCTTGCAGGAGTATTCATTCTGATAATTTGATTTATACTCCCAAAATATATACTATCCAACAAATATATTTTCCCAAAGTCAATATATATCTTTGGGTTCAAGAAGATATATTCATACAAGCTGCTTTTTCTCAAGATAATGTATTTATCCTGTCAGAATATATACAAAATCTTTTCTAACCTGATGTATGATTGTCCTCATTATTGAGGTTCACTCCAACCTCTTTATTGAGCACTGACCCACCTTCACCTCTCTTCCCATTAAGATATTTTATACAAAACTTTGATGAGTTCTGTGGGTCACTTGGGTAGATTGTATAACAACTGCAACAACCAGTTCACAGCAGACACCACCAAGGGCTCCACCTGAGGGAGAAGTCATTCATAAGCCAACATGAGAGTATTGTCCCCTTCCAGAAGTTGAACCTCTGGCTAAGTATTCAAAGAAGCCATTGATGCATATGCTAATTTGTGACTTGTGTAGATTGCATGACAGCTGCAAACAATCTATAGAGCCCTGCACGACTCTATAGTGCTTTGCATTGACATTTGCACACTGAAATCACAAAAATTATGTTTGGTTTTGTATGTTCATCACATATTGTCATGCAGGACGACTTTGGGAATTTTGAATTTCTCAAACCCAACTTTTGTTGTGCCTCAGGTATCGGATGAGATGTGTGTGTGAATCATTGTTTGCCATGATGAGCAACAGCTTTCACTGTAGGAGATTGCAGGCCTTGTTGGATGTTGTGTCTGGTAAGTGGTCTCTTACTTCCTGATTTGAGGGTCATGGTATGACACACACAAACACAATTTCCAAAACTTATTGTGCAGACAGTAGTGCAAAGCACTGTAGCCAAGGAAAGATGTGAAATTATATGTTGTCAAGATATATATATATTTG